AAATTTTTCTCCGAACGTTTTCCGGTGAATGAAAATGTCACCATTGGACTCAGAATTAAATTCTGCATCGAATACACTCGGTTTTATCGACCGGAATTCGTTTTCAGAAAATCCTTAGTTTAATGGTACTAGCTCGGTGGTGCTAGCTTCACACCGATCACAATGATTACTGAAAAGAACCAAATGAAATAATTGATCATCATTGGATTGTTTATCATCATAAATAAGCATAAAATGAAATAGTGGAAAGACTTCCGTACCATTCTTAGAATAAGGATTTTCATTACAACGAGTTTCAACAAGATTTTCTCATGTATTATCATCGATTTGCACAGATAAAAAAAATAAATCCTTCGAAAAATATTCACTATGATACTGAAGAATATCTAATAGATATTGATTATTATTACCTATTCGAAGTCGTGTACGCATGGGAGAATAACGTTTTAAAAGACATTGAATAGCATATGAAGTATTGGTCCCAATTAACGAACGATTACCAGTTAGATGAACACTATGTGCTATTATTGTCCGACTATCATCTGCACAAAAACATTTCTCCAGAGCATGAATTGCTACTGTTGAATGTACTTGATAAGTCATTTTTGAATATATGACAAAGAAAAAATGTAACAGTTAAATGTAACTTGATTTCTTTCTTTTTCTATTTATGAATACAACTAGGACAAAAACATAGGTGATCGATAATTCTGAGGAAGATTTTTTTAATAGAATATACGTCAAGTAGAGTAGTTGCTTTCATCTATCGACAAACACGTATTCACATTTTTTCTTTTCTTCGATAAGAATCAAAATACGCAAAGGACGTACTGAAAATATAACAAACTATAATAGTCATACGTATTGTTTATGTACATTATTGTCATCTACGCCTTACTGAAACTGAAAGACAATAACTATTTGATATTTCAATAGAAAATTCAAGTAAAAAAATCTAAGTGTTTATTAAACGAATTAGTAAGAATTTCTCCGTCTGAACAGATCGTACAAGGCAAAAGTTTTGAGAACTTATATCATTGATTATCAAGCAATGTACAACGAATACGAATAAAAAGAAAACAAGATTAGTTTTAATTGAATGCATTTTCGTATATTTCCAATAATAAATGCATTCGGAAGGAAGATTTTGTTCATAAACGATAATACAAAAAAACCCTTCAGACATTCTTTTAAATAAATAATCATCCTAATGATTTTCTGTCAAAAATATTCAGACAAACAATCAAATGAAATGCGAATTAAATTTGAAATTATCGAGGCAAATAAACTTTATCTAGTGTTCACAGTCATATCTCTTCAAGTATGATTATTCTATATATTTTCCAGTTTGTTTCATATGTCGTCTGTATTATTTTCACTTGACGGCGTCATTGTAGATATTTCTATGAAAGAGTATCTTCATTTTAAACACACTAATAATTAATATCAAGTATATAATTAGACATTCATCATTCATCTTTTGCTATTCTTTGTTAAATCTTCTCTCGAGCATTCTCATTCATCTTCAAATGTCTTTAGTTTACATTGGTCAACAAATAACAATTTATTATGAATTTTTCCTTCTCATTTTTGGTTTTATTGGAAATTTTCTGACGATATTGATTCTTTCGACTACACGGATTTATCGAACGAATCCTTCAACATTCTATATGCTTATTGCTTCAATTCATAATCTTTTTCAAATGATTCCTAATCTTCTCTTACGAATCTTAAGTGTCAGTTTTGAACTTGATTATTCTCGTACATCACATTTTTGGTGTAAATCTCGAATAACATTTGCAGCTATCTTTGGTTTTATATCATTGAGTTGTGCATGTTTATCTACAATTGATCAATATCTTATCACATCAAGAAAAGTTTCATTTCGACATAAAAGTCAAATCAAATGGAGTCATCGAATAGTATTGATTATTATGATTATTGTCTTACTTCATAGTATTCCATCGTTTATTTCCTATGATATTTCATCTATTAATCACATATGTACATATACAAATCTAATATTTGCTGTTTATGTTCCAGTCTCTAGTTTTCTATATTTATGCATCATACCGATTAGTATTTTGATAACATTTGGTTGTTTAACTTATCGAAATTTACAACAAATTAGAAATCTGAATGACTATCGATTTGATCGTCAGTTAACCAAAACAATTTTGATGCAAGTAATATTGATTATTATTAGTCAAACACCTTATGCTATTTATAATGCATACATGTTGATTGGAATAGGTAGAAATAAAGATGCAAAACAATTAGAAATAGAAAATTTTGCTTTTACAATCACTGGACTTATGGCTTATGAATATTTTTCTGTAAGAGTTTCTTAATCTTTATTTTGTCAATTATTTTCATACTTTTCATCTATTTATTTCTAGAGTGGATTTTATATATTTTTATTTTCATCCAAAACCTTTCGTCAAACAGTTAGAAAACGACTTTTCTTTTGGAGAAGAATTAACCATATTGTTCCTGTTACAATCGTAAGAAACGATAATATCATATCGAGTACATTACAATAACTATCAAATCAATTTATTGTAAAAAGAAGGAATTCTTCTTTCAGTCGTATTTATTCTATATCTCCGAGAGGAAATTAAGCAATGAAAATTCAATCTTTTTTTGTTAGATGTTGTTTGAAAATCTCACATGATCGAAAACGATATGCAGAAAAGAAAACATTTTCAAGTATAAGACACAAAATGGAGAAATATGAGTCGACGTTCTTCGATAGTTTATTTATTGCGATTTCTGAAAAAGAAATTCAATGAGGTCTTCAACACATGGTTTAATACTTTCATATACAAGTGAAAATAATTCAATGAGAGAATAAGTCATGATTTTTTCAATATTTATTAATAAATTTTAACACTTCTATAGAAAGTACCACCGATGACAACTATCTTTCCACTTGCTAATGCTAATGTTGTATGACCTGCTCGCGCAATACTCATGTTGCATACTAACGTCAAAGTATTGCTTGATAATTATATTTAACAAGAGGGAGTGAAGGAATTCACTAAAAGATCTTAACTATCTTGACATATTAACATATGGGTAATCGTCATTCACTATTAACTTTCATCGAATTTCGCTGCTTCACACAAGTGAGTAAATAAATAAGCTGTTTGACTTCTATGAACATTTCCTGTAGTCTGACGAGCAAATGGTAAACACGTAGTATTTTTCACAATAAAATTGTCTACCAGGAAATAAAGTCATTTGAATTGATTTAGTATTTTGTGCAATTGTTTGTCTAGTCAAAACGAACAGAACGAGAAAATATATTTGTTTTTCATGCATATTTGTGAAAGATGTAAGTTAAATAATTAAGTCCTTTTTCGAATGATATGTAATATCAACTAACGAAATATTTGATTTTATATCAATTTTCTTTCTTTATACGCGCGTGATTTCATTTCCAACAACTTCAATTCCCTTTTTTTTGCTAGGATTTTTCTATATAAACGCTATTAACTAACGCGTATTTTACATCGTTATTATTTCCTTCTCTTCATCAGTGTATAAACAGACGTGATCAACCGTTTGGATTCGCCAACATTCGTTTGTTTATGTAATTTCAAACACTTATACGCAAGGTATGATTATCATATCAGTTGTATCCAACATGTATAGTGCTATCCTGTTGTTATTATGGTTATAATCGTTTGTATGATTAGTGTAATGACAAACTGGTTGAGTAGCTGACCGCTTCTCACGGTATAGATGTTTATTGACTACTCTACATGACCAGAATGTATCTCTTTCACAATAAGACACGCGCTTATATAGAGAAGAGGAAAGAGAGATATGACCCGGAGATAGTATGATATAGAGGTGAGAGAATAAAGAACAGAAAGAGATGAACGATATCATTATCGTTACANAGAATGTATCTCTTTCACAATAAGACACGCGCTTATATAGAGAAGAGGAAAGAGAGATATGACCCGGAGATAGTATGATATAGAGGTGAGAGAATAAAGAACAGAAAGAGATGAACGATATCATTATCGTTACAATTAGGAATGAAAATTGATAATTATGCTCGTTGAATTATTGTACTCAACGTATATATCATATCGTACTTATTCACTTGTTGTGCTCAGTGTATATACTTCGTACTTAGGTTAGACTAGTGGGAGAAGGAGAGAGAGAAATATGGTGCTTCTGGTATATTCTGCTAATCCCGCTCTCTTGCAGGATAAGAAAATCAACATATAAGGAATCACAGAAAGTAAGATAGTATAACAAACATTTCTTTACAATATAAGAGGGATGCATGATAAATCTTTCATTCGTCTCCATCTCTTCTTCTTCTCTTTAATGCAAAAAAAAACACTCAGAAACTTTCTAGTAACACTCCGCAAACAACTCCATTTCTTTCATTTCTTTATGGGCAAAATTTTGAGAATAAATTTAATTATTATTACAGCAGCTTTAAACTTTTTCATTTGATATTAAATTTTAAATATTAATTAAAAAGCTTTCAGCATAATCCCTTGCGCGATTAAAAATGTGAAACACGATTTCCGCTATGTTTATTTGACTCAGTTTATATTTAACGTAGTCTAAAATTGGGAGGGAGAGGGGGTGGGGGCAAGAAGGGGGCATCGTATTGTACGCATTCTCATTTTCTTCCTAAATATACAGTTATTAATTGCATGGTATAAAAAGGTTTATCTGTCACGGTCTGTTATGCGATTTTTCATCAATCTCTGTCACAGTCTGTGGGGGGTAGTGGGTGCAAATTTCTGTCTTTAAACATTTGAACACTCTCTTTCAGATCGTGTTCCACAATAAAGCTAACCATAGATCCTTCTTGATATATTCTTATTTGATGTTATAAAGACCTTGGTAAATCCTGAATGTATTCGAATCCTGAACAAAAGATATTCGTATATTTATTGTACTATAGACTTGATCTAAAAGACTGTCAGACTTAGGGGTGGACCATTTCCGTTAATTTGAAATTAACGTAAACAGTAACCCGTTAAACGTTAATATTAACGTTAACGGTTGATATTAACGTTAATATTAACAATTAACGGGTTATACTTAACCGTTAATTTCCACTTTATTAAGTAATTAACGTATAAAAAAGATCTTCTATTGCTTCAGACGCAATTGTAGATCCCTCCTAACTATGCAAATATAGATTCCTGAAGGAAAACTCAAAGGCCCATGGTTCACATCCCATAAGCAGAGTCAAACGCTGTCGACCCGTAAGAAAATTAACATCCAATACCGATCTCTGCAGGCCGAATACAATCCGAGGTCAAAAAAACATCCTTATATAAGGCCTTCCTGATGGATTTCGAGTGAAAATAAGTTTTCGAAAAAAAATCGCGGTCATCGCTGATTGGTCGAAATTGGCCAATCAGAATTCGCGGGAATGCACCTTGGAATAAAGGCTTTTTCCTAGACTGGTTCCCACGCTAGCATTAACCTGAGAGATGAGTATCTTACCAGGGTACATGTAATTATTGCTGGGTCGTATAGATAATTAGTTGTCAGAAAGGATCATACATTATGATTATTTAACCATTTATCAGTTAATTAAGTGGAAATTAACGGTTAAGTGCAACCCGTTAATCGTTAATATTAACGTTAACGTAAACCGTTAACGTTAATATTAACGATTAACGGGCTCCGTTAATTAACGGCCGTTAATTAAGTAGAATTAAATTAAATGGTCCACCCCTAGTCAGACTTAAAGACGAGCCATTTTACTAAGTATTCATACAAAAAAAAATTTTCAATGTTCAGTATTTTATAAAAACATAGACATCATTCTTCGAACTTTTGGTCAACCATAAGTAATTCCGTTCAACTAAAGTGTGTGAAAAAACCATTTAAGTGATTTTTTGGAGTCTAATGGCACTGTTAAAACATTTGAGATGTGATGATATTACGTTGTTGAACGAGTACACCCTAGTCTGGTGATACTTCGTTCCTTACAAACTGTTGGAAAGCTCAGTTATCGTAATCATGCGGTGGTATTATGAGGAGACTATTGATATCAGCCGTTCCACTAAATTCTTTTTTTATGAGTATTCTATTTTCGAAAAAAGATATTTCTTTAACTTTGCAATGTTTCAGGTTTTATTACTTCTGGAATAAAGCAAGGAAAAGCGTAAGAATAAGCAAATCATAGTGATTGATAAAAAATCTGAATGTTTATGGTTATGACGAAATTTTGTTAGTAAAGTATGAATAAGCTGCCCATCCTAGAACAGTTGTGGAAGTGGCAGCTGTTGCTACACAAAGACTTGAACCTATTAAATATCCAACAGTAGTTAATTGGAATACACCTCCAACAAAAAGTGCTCCTGTACGAATTGCCAGACTAGCAACTTGATGAACACAATGTACTGCCTTAAATGAGTCCGGTGTTCTTGATGAATCAATTGAGAAACACGCCAACATACGGTACATCCATTCTTGCAAAAGAGTTGTGAGTGCGATATCCACAATTGGTAAAAATGAGACAGCCGCACTAGCTGTTGAAAAAGCAATTATAATCTTGTTGGCAATTGAAAATCGATATCGAGCTACATAATTCAGATTCGTATCAATAATTTGTGCGTTTAGTGGTGATTGACCATCAATATTTCGTCGAAGTTCATCAATACCAAAATCTTCATTCTTTGACACAGCAATGCATCGAGTAGCTGAAGTAGTCAAATATTTGTTGACTTTTGTTAAAGCCTCTTTAATGCAGTTTTCGATTTCTGAGCTTTGCTCTAATGTTGGTACTTTACCGTCAAAATATTCATCAATTTTATTTAATACACATATAATAGGTATATTAACATCGTAACGTTGTTTCTTTAACCATTTTAAAATATTATTAATATCATTAGTAATACCAATCAAATCTTTTTCTCTTCTCAGATGATCCCTTGTAACGACCAGTATGATCGCATCTGGATGTTGAACTGCTTTCATTTGCGTTTCAATTTTTTTCACAAGATCAGAATCACCTTCTGAATTTGCACCGAATCCTACAGTATCGATAAAAACTGCATTTACTTTCGGCACAGACACTTCCTGGAAATCTTTTGTACCAGGAATATGGCTGTGGCTGACATCGCATATTTTTTCTCCACATAGATTGTTGATCATGGTTGATTTACCTGCGTTGGAAGCACCGATAACATAACATACATTTAGTCGAGACGGTTCCAATGTCTGCTGCAATGAGTCAAGGGTGCCAAATAGTGGATCAAAGATTTTGTTCGGAATTAAACGATTTGAATAAACTTCCTTTTTCATATCATCGGTAACACAGCGAATAGTTTGGATTAACATTTCCACTTCCTCCTTTTGAACGTTGTTGTTTAATTCGGAAAGTGAATCTTCGGTAAGTTCAATGTTTTGTTTGTATGTTGTAGGTTTCGAAAGTTCATTGGTCATTGTTGTTAGAATAATATTTCTCTATTAAAAATAGATTTATTAAAATGGAAGGCCTAAACAAATTAAAACTCGTAGCGATACACCAGACCTACATCCTCGCTCTTATCGTCTTTTATCAAAAAAAAAGTCTAATTGATGACCAAATATAGTATTAAAACCTACGTATTAGTAATCCTATTTCAGATATGTTTGATATTATCTTACTTTATTGACAGTATTGCAAGGAAAATAAAACTTTTTAAAGGGTTTACATATGCGAAAAGATGGGTCTTTATATGTTGTTAAGAAGTGAAATAACCCACGGCTGACATTATATAGAATTTTCCATCTGTTCTCTTATTTCTTTTTAAATATCAATATATATTTTTTCTTCAACAAACTTTGTTCCACTACTGGTAAGATAAGGTTTGACTAATAGGAGAAATATTCCTTTTTTGTCGATATAGGGTAGTTGGTTTCGATGATTCTTCCAACAGAACTTTTACATCTTGATATTAATTGTATGTTGGAAAGTCATGGCATTTTTGTTTTGCTGATGTTGCAATAGGTGGTGAAAAAGAATTAGTAATATGATAGTTGTGGTATTTCCGTCATTGACATTTGTTGTGGGGAAAAAACCAAATAACCTTTTACCCAAACAAACAGATTCACTTCCTTTGTTTTTTTCTATTCCTTGTCCCCTCGACTGTAGAGAGGGTCATATGAAATAAAATAGTTTGTCTGTTTGTTTGTGTCAGGGTCAAAGGTCAAA